GAAATCTGTCCTTTGGTCTGATGAGTCCAAATGTGAGATTTTTGGTTCCAACCGTCGTGTCTTTGTGAGACGCAGAGTAGGTGAACGGATGATCTCCGCATGTGTGGTTCCCACCGTGAAGCATGGAGGAGGAGGTGTGATGGTGTGGGTGTGCTTTGCTGGTGACACTGTCTGTGATTTATTTAGAATTCAAGGCACACTTAACCAGCATGGCTACCACAGCATTCTGCAGCGATACGACATCCCATCTGGTTTGCACTTAGTGGTACTATCATTTGTTTTTCAACAGGACAATGACCCAAAACAGACCTCCAGGCTGTGTAAGGGCTTTTTGATCAAGGATAGTGATGGAGTGCTGCATCAGATGACCTGGCCTCCACAATCACCCAAACTCAACCCAATTGAGATGTTGGACCGCAGAGTGAAAGAAAAGCAGCCAACAAGTGCTCAGCACATGTGGGAACTCAGCACATGTTGGAAAAGCATTCTTCATGAATCTGGTTGAAAGAATGCCACGAGTGTGCAAAGCTGTCATCAAGGAAAAGGGTGGCTACTTTGAAGAATCTAAAATCTAAAAAATATTTTGATTTGTTTAACACGTTTTTGGTTACTACAGTATTCCATATGTGTTATTTCATATTTTTGATGTCTTCACTATTATTCTACAATGTAGAAAATAGTAAAAATAAAGAAAAACCTTTGAATTAGTAGGTGTGTCTGTCACGCCCTGGCTCTGGGGACTCTAGTATGTTGAGCCAGGGTGTGAGTTTTCATTTGTGTTTGTTCTGGTTTTGTATATCTATGTTGGCCAGGGTGGCTCCCAATCAGAGACGGCTGTAGCTTGTTGTCTCTGATTGGGAGTCATACTTAGGTAGCCGTTAGGCATTCATTTGGTGTGGTTTCTTGTTCCGTGTTGGTTTGTGAATGTAACCAGGGACGTCACGTTTTGATCATCTATTAATAAATATGTTCGCATTCCACGCTGCGCCTTGGTCCTCCTCTGTTCCCGACGATCGTGACAGAAGAAACCACCAAGACTGGACCAAGCAGCATGTCCAGGAGCCATCGCCAGGGAGATCTCTAGCAGATCTCCTTCGCCTCCTCGACTGGGTCAAGCCGGGTGAGGAAGAGAAGGGCTGGACTTGGAAGCAGAAGGGCGAAAGTCTGGCGAGGGACATGGAGACCTGGTCCACGGGTAGGAGAGACGCCCAGAAATTTTTTAGGGGGGGGCTCACGCCGTGGACGACGGGGCAGCAGGAGGCCGCCAGGTTACGGGAGTCACTGGTCACCAGGGGGAAGGAGGATGTAGAGGCACGACGAGAGGTACTGGGGTGTGTTGCCAGTCCGGTCCAGCCTGTTCCTGATCCCCGCGTAGGGCCAGTGGTGTGTGTTCCCAGTACGGTCCGGCCTGTTCCTGCCACTCGCACCAAGTCTACGGTGCGCGTCGCCAGCTCGGCCCGGCCTGTTCCTGCTCCCCGCACCAAGCCTGTGGTGCGCGTCGCCAGCCCAGTCCGGCCCATTCCTGCTCCCCGCACCAAGTCAGTGGTGCGTTTCGTCAGCCCTGTCCGGCCCGTTCCTGCTCCCCGCACCAAGTCAGTGGTGCGCGTCGTCAGCCCGGTCCGGCCTATTCCTGCTCCCCGCACCAAGTCAGTGGTGCGCATCGCCAGCCCGGCCCGGCCCATTCCTGCTCCCCGCACCAAGTCACTGGTGCGTTTCGTCAGCCCAGCTCGGCCCGTTCCTGCTCCCCGCACCAAGTCAGTGTTGCGCTTCGTCAGCCCGGTCCGGCCCGCTCCTGCTCCCCGCACCAAGTCAGTGGTGCGTTTCGTCAGCCCGGCTCGGCCCGTTCCTGCTCCCCACACCAAGCCAGTAGTGTGCGTCGTCAGTACGGCACAGCCCGTGCCTGTTCCACCGGTGCCTGGTTCGGCACGGGTCAGCTGCGTCACGCCGGAGCTAGAGCAATCCGCTCCACCAGTGTGTAGTCCAGCTCCGGTCAGCAGGGTCAGACCGGACCAGGGGTACTTTGGGGGGTTAGAGAGGGAGTGGGGATCATGCCCGGAGCCGGATCCGCCTCCAAGGCGGAGTGCCCACCCGGTCCTTCCCCTGTGGTGTTTGGTTGGCGCGGTCGGAGTCCGCGCCTTTGGGGGGGGTACTGTCACGCCCTGGCTCTGGGGACTCTAGTATGTTGAGCCAGGGTGTGAGTTTTCATTTGTGTTTGTTCTGGTTTTGTATATCTATGTTGGCCAGGGTGGCTCCCAATCAGAGACGGCTGTAGCTCGTTGTCTCTGATCGGGAGTCATACTTAGGTAGCCGTTAGGCATTCATTTGGTGTGGTTTCTTGTTCCGTGTTGGTTTGTGAATGTAACCAGGGACGTCACGTTTTGATCATCTATTAATAAATATGTTCGCATTCCACGCTGCGCCTTGGTCCTCCTCTGTTCCCGACGATCGTGACAGTGTCCAAACTTTTGACTGCTACTGTATGTGTGAAATTAGTTTTGATTTAGAATGTACCATTATCATGCACCTGTCTCGGAACAGGGACATTGGAAAAAAAAAACATCTATGCACTTAAATAACGAAATGTAGGCGCTTTTCCCGTGGATCATTTTCATGCCATCCAGGTAGGCTATACTCCTGTTGTAAAGCGAAGCACTGTGCTTAATAATTGAGTTGATCAATAAATATAGTAGGCAAAGCCTATAGAAAGCTGATGGGATCCTCTTTTTAATAGAGGCCATCAAACCTCTGTTTTCTTATGCAATTGCATAGCCTATAGAAATGTTGCACAACATGAGCTCATTGGCTCTCATTAAGTGTTTGATTTGATTTTCGAAAACATTTGCATTGACGTCAGAGTGATTAGAGGAACAACAGAGTGCTGAGTACCAGGCAGTTATCAAGTTTGGTAGGCTACTAATGACCATCAGCAGCATCAGAGCTTGGAAAAGCCTAGTTATCGTGACTAAACGGTCACATGGAATTTGACTGCGGTCATGACTCGTGGCTGCCAGTGTGGCGGTTATACAGTCACCGTAACGGCCCTAGATACAAGTACTAGGTATAGGCTTTTACTAAGGCCCAGTTTTTCCAGGGTGGTGTTCAGTAGTCACGAAACGGGAGAAATTACTTTGAAATAGAGTGAAACTCCCACGAAGGCCACTGTGCCTGCCTGAAGAACCATTATGTTTTGCATACACAAAGCGTCAGCACATTTTAATTTGGTCCATTAAAAACAATTTCTTGACATGATTTATGTTCTTGGAGTGTGAGTCAACTCTTTCTAGGATAAAGAATTCCATATTTTCCAACACAGAGGAATCATTAGAAGAACTGCAGAAAGTAAGTACTCATTTACAGTGCTGTAAAGTACATAGTGTGTGAGAGGGGTAGAGTATACAGTAGGCGAGGTCGATATCCACAGCTCATTTGGAGCAGAGAGAGAGAATGGCAGGCAGTGTCCTGCCAATGTGTCTGTGTCATGTATGTTTCATTAGTCCTGGCACAAAGCCCTCTCTCTTCCTGTTTTCCTCCAGCTACCCAGGGAGAGGAGAACTGACAAGCTCAGCGCTACAGTAATTGGCTTCACTAAGATGACATCCCAGATATACATAGTTGGGGAAAGACATGAAAAGGTTCACTGTGTTAAGACTCTGTCCGGCTGTCTCATCTTACGGTTGTCCACTGACATGGTGAGAGTTAACTGCCCACCTGCAGATTTTATCCCAGTCCAAAAAAGTATCGTTGAATAGTTGAAGTCTGAAAGTGAAATTGGTTCAAGTATGATTTGTCAGATGATTTAATATTACAGAAATAAAATATAATTTGGTGATAATTATGTTTCATTCATTTTGAGGATAACTACAGGATGGACTCAAGTACAGTCTTTACACTACAGTGTCATCCCAGGAGGTGGGTGGTGGACATCTGTTGTCTCTGAGGACCTGTCACATGTATTTATGTTCCTCCCTGCCTATGTTCGTTCTCCTCCATTCCTCCCTGACTGTCTCTCCTCCTCCTTTTCCCTGGTGAGCCACAACCGAGGTCACCAAGATGCCTTTGCCTCCTGTTCCTGCTTCTTACTTAAACTTGATTTACTTCACACTAGAGTAGTCTCAGCCTCCAGGGCTTGACTGACCTCTGAACCTTTCAGACTGGGAAAATAGGTTATAGGGCAGTAAGCCACATACTCAGGAGATCTCCTTGTGATACTGTGGCTTAGAATGGTTTGAGTAGAAATTAGAGGACAACTCTGCCGGGAAACGTTTATATCCTCCACCGACAATGGGACAATTATGGTGGTGATGTTTGTAGATGTAACGGATTGGAACTGTTGAAATGTGTTGTTCTTGAACGTATTTTCCTCTCTGCAAGTCCCAGGTTTGCCTCATTGTAATTAAGGGCCTAGCCCAATGTATAAATGCTTGTCTGTTTCATTCAGGGGATCCCCCTACTATGTGTTGGCTGGCATGCCTTGGGAGGACGGGTGTGGCGACCGTGGCCTAGACCAAAGTGATGACAATGGATTGTGGGTATGTTTATGGCAAGGTTGCCCATAACCACTGATACCGTTTCCCTTCTCCCATGGCATGCTTCCCTAGGTATGTATTTTGTGTGTTGGCCAGAAATAATAAGAATATTGATTAAAACGTAATACATTGATTGACAATTGAATGCCTAGGTACTGATGAAACTCTGAGGATGATAGCAGTGATTGTACGGAGTGCTAGGTGCTGAAGATGGTGTCCATGAGAAGCTTTCTGATTATTTGGGAAATATCAAGCATTATTGTACTGTCCTGAAGGACGTGCTGTAAGACATACACATATGCAGGCACACACACACTTGCACATTTCCAACACACTGCCACAACAAACCGAAAACAATCAGCGTAGGATGGGGCGCCCCTCTTTGAGGAAGCCCACAGCAGCCAATTACCCTAATCCCCTCCCCAATTGGCAACATGGCCGCCGCTGATAAGGCTAAGCAGCTCCACACTCACCCATGGAGAAGAATGGGATCCCCAGCAGCGTGGAGTTAAACTTCCCGTCGGAGATGAAGAAGATGCCAGCGGAGGTCACGTTGGCGATGGCTATGGTGAGCACGCCCAGCAGACCCAGGAAGGGCTTTCCCCTCAGGCAGTCCCTCATGGAGCTGGAGATGGTGGCCGCCAGCAGAAGGAGCACTAGGCTGACCAGCACCTCCCCTTTAGCCAGCACTCCCGTCTGGTGGAAGTCCCTCCACAGGCTGAAGGAGGTGAGAGACTGGATGTGCAGGTCCTCGCTGAGCGTGGACAGGTGTGTGATGAGGGTGCAGAAGGCATTCTCCCACTTCTCTGCGATGACGTCCTGCACCACGGGGCCATGGTTGCGGAGGTAGTAGGTGATCTGGACGGCCCGAGCAAACTTCACCTGCTGATCTCGGCTGTTGGGCGAGAAGGCCACTCCACCCAGCTGGTGGCCGATGAAGGATACACGACCGTCCTGGGGGAGGGAGCACAACAGACAGGTTACTATCAGACACATTGAGAGAGGGATCTCAAGTCCCTACAGAGCATAGCTGGAGATATGCTGATTGGTTACTGTTACCTGATATTAGCAACGGTTGTAATTTGTAGTTTATTGTGGATTATGGTTATATCTTGTAAATGATTTGAACACTGTGACCCGCCAATCAACCATTGCAATATGCATGAATTCCCATATTTGATACATTTTACGTTAAGATAAATGCTATATCATATTTGCCAAGCAATAGTAAATGTGTGCTATGGCAAGCTATTCCCATTATTTCTACTATAGTAAATTGAACTGTGTATCTTGGATTCATGCTTGAGAATATCCCATTACTACGGCTACTAAAGAATCAGACCACATGCACTGTAGTGTATGATCACTAAAACACTGTTGAATAAAAAATGCATTAAACCAATCACTGTCTGCCTAGTTGTTTTCAGACAGGTATATTGTAGGTATCCTATCAGATCGGAGCTCCACTAGTATAGGGATGCAGTGACATTAATTCCCCCAGAAGGTGACTGATATGTGGAGATGAGATATATGACAACACTTGACTGCCCTCCAGAGAAGATGGATCTCCTAGACAAGTGGATGAACAGTTAACTTGTCAGCCAATAGTGAAATTATGCAAATGTAATGAAGCCTTGTTTGTTCATTTCAGACAAGGGCCCTAGCTGGTCTGATTTGATCAATGTTTGTAGCTACTGCACTGTACTGTAGCCTGCTGTACTGTACAGCCAATCCTGGATCTCTTCAATGCAATGTTTTATGTTGATTGTACAACTGTAATGTCAGCAAATGAAGGATTCCATGGGATAATGTAATTACATATCACTTGCACTGTTAGCAGAATATGGAATTGCATAATATTATTACCATTCCTTCCCTATTATCATGTAAATTGATATATTCAGTAACAATGGGCTTGAACATTCATAGTAGAACATTCACCACAAGGACTCCTCATTTAAGCAGAAGCCATGAAATTCTGACATACCATCCAGGGATTTAACATTAGTAGTACAGTGCTGTAAACACATGAAGAAAGCTGCCAGCTGACATCAAAGCACTGAATGAAAAGCAAAAAATGTGTCAAGACAATCTGCACAAACAGACAGAGAATATCAATGATGCAGGCGACACAACACGACGAACGGCGCTGTAGAAGTATCTGCCAAGAGGGGTGTAAAAGAAGGTCCGTTTATTCTAACCTTAAAGCGGGAACTTCTTTTCCCGCATGAGGCGGGAGGGCTTGGCGTCAAGGGGCGCAAGGGCCAGAGTCAAAGGGTATAAAGCAACTGCCTGCAATCGGAGTGAGTGAACACAGTGGCCTTGGATGTAGAGTAATGAACAGTGGTAGGATGTGCTATCTAGAAGTGATTTAGGGACAGCCCAGGATGAATGAACAGAGCAGGCCCCAGTGCATTACTCACAGCTAGGCCTGGTGCGGGAGGATTAGCTATCTGACACAAGATATGTTCTTATTGGAGGATATACAACACTAGCTAGATATATGCCTTGCAATTTAAGATGCTCTGTGAAGCATAGGCCTAACTTAGTACAGAACCGTTTTCAACTCAGTAACGACCCACTATAGTGAGTCTTCCTCAAGGCAGATCATACAGAATATTCTACTTTCTACACTCATTCATCACATGTGCTCAATGTGTCATGGTAATATCAACAGATCTGGTCACCTGTTGTAAAATTAGGCTACCTGTTGTAATTGTGTAACATCTGATTAAAACATGAACCTAATTTATAGCCTACTGTCTAAAATGACATGAGCAGAGGTAGCCTAGCAGCCTAGCTATACATCTGCAGAGGGCTGCAACCACAGCACACACTTAGGAGGCATAGCAACATCTTACAGGTGATGAGAGGATGCAGGATCCATACTAGTCTATCAGCTATGTTATTCTATATGTGCAGGAGAGGGAGAACTACACTGCATCAGAATAGGAAGGGGAACATTCCCTCTATATTGGAGCAGTGCAAGGCTATGCAGCCAATTCACAACCTGCAGCTAATAACTAGCCTACACCGGCTGTTCAATCCATTCTGAGTATTTCCTTGCGTTGCCTGCCTGATATATGAAGAAATCTGCAGCCTACATAATAGGCTGAGCGAATACAACCACTGCTCATTGAGAAATGAATGCAGTCTTCAGACAGTAGGTTATGGTCTCATTGCAGATACATTGTCCCACTGCTAATCCAGGTCATTCGGTGTTTGGGGTAGCAAAGTACGTCGGTCATGTTCTCTTTAAGGGTAACTGCCACATACGATACTCAAATCGGTAATTGATGCCCGCGGCCGGCAGAAACGTTGTAGACTATCGTGTTATAAAACAAAATCCTCGCCGTCTTACCTTTAATGTTGTATTTGGATAGGTCACGGGCACCTTTGAAAAAGTGTGATTCGATAGAATGGCTAAGCGGATATCTTCGAATATCGTAATTATATCATCCAAGAGGCATCGCTTATCCCGATGGCTCAGGACACAGAGATGAGCGAAAGTGTAATTGAATCCCTTGTAATTAACCCGCAAATCCAGCACCTGCTTGTGAACCTGCAGGACCTGGTCGGCTAGCTCCAGTATATTTCCCCCAGATTTGGCCAGCAGAATCAGTCTGCCATATCTGCCGGGAGTGTGCAGGTCGGAATACAGCTTGTTTTTTGACTGGTCGATGGGGAAAAGGCTGTTCGCAAGACTCCGCTCTACTTTAGCAAAGCTGTGGGTCGGGGCAACCAGTATCTCGATGTCCGTTTCGGGCTTGAATCTGCTCAGCACGGTAGATCCAAAAATGATGGTTAAGACTGCAGGAACGGTGAGGAAAAAAACCGGATGCCTACTAACAAATAAGCCCAGCCAGTAGAAAGAAGCTTTGAGCCCTCTGTGTATCATTTGCCGCAGCATCCTCCTCCAGATCCAGCTTGCAGATGCCCAGTTTCTTCCTATGAAGCACATGTGACATGAGGCTCCGTTGCCCAGTTTAGTCAATCCGTATGAGAATACACTACACCTATAAAAAGAGCACTGCAGCAATTTGCAACAAGAACTGTCAGATACTTATCATGTCGTTGCTTTTTTTGTTTCATTTCAAGCCATTCCTCCCCTTTACTAACAGCGGACCCGTGACTATTCCTATTGCTCCTGCTGCAATAGCAGCAAACCTTGGCCGTCTGATGTGCATGTGTGCCTAGTTCTAACTACACTATCGGTGGCGCCTGACTTATATAGCCTACTTGACTGTAACCATGTGCTGGGATGAAGGGGGAAGATGCTGATGATGGGTTATTTTAGAAACACGCGCAATAGCCATATGAGAGTCGTGAAATATTCATTGGTGGCACAATGGCCAAATGCACTTCTTGAAATCACTCCCACCTCATGAATGGGGAAACCATACAGTTGCGCGTAAAGCTAATAGCCAGTAACCTAGGTTAGCCTCTTGAGAGAGGGAGACAGCGGGTCCTACGAAGCCTTTCAAAGTCATGGGGAGTTTACTGATATACTTTTTGCACCTCAGGAGGTTTATGCTTCAAAGTCAAGTAAAGACACACTATATTGCCTCTCAATGTGACACTTGTTTACACCTGCCACCCAATCTGGGACAATACTGTCAATGACATCATAGGGTTACAGTAGGCTAGCTCACTTTTATCTTTTGGGATTCAATAACAGAGGTCCTCAAGTCATCGTCTGGGGTCACATTTCTACAGTAGCCTAGGTCCTACACCAATGCAGCATTTATCTATTGTAAGTATTTGCGTTGTTGGGAATTTTTGATGCCTCACAACAAGTATTGTCAATCGCCGATGTTAAATAATAAACAAACTAGCTAATAGATGCGATTCAGCACCACTGAAGTGGACAGCAACGCAATCGGAATTCGGAAGTTCAGCACCAGGACAGCAACAGTCACTTCGCTCGTGGGGCGTTTAAGCCACGAACAGAGCCTGACAGGCAGCTCTGTCTTCCAGGCTGCATGCCGCCCCCAAGACCAGAGTCAATCACATGCAAGGAACAACTAGCCATTAAGCCACACACAAACAGAGCCAGAAAGCTGAAGCCTAAAGGAAAAAAGTTAATATAGCCAGGAACTTTCAAAATTAAAGCAACTTTATACTGATATATCACTGATATTAAATCAGATTGATTTGTTGTAGATAAGCAATCTTTTTGTGTTTGTTAGCTAGCTTGCTAGAAGGGCTGCTTAGCATGCCAAGAGTGTGCAAAGCTGTCATCAAGGCAAAGGGTGGCTACTTTGAAGAATCTCAAATATAAAATATATTTTGATTTGTTTAACAATTTTTTGGTTACTACATGATTCCATATGTGTTATTTCATAGTATTGATGTCTTCACTATTATTCTACAATGTAGAAATAGTAAAAATAAAGAAAAACCCTTGAATGAGTAGGTGTGTCCAAACTTTTGACTGGTACTGTAGTTAGCTATGTAGTCTTATTAGCTAGCTAGCAAGCTAGCTAGTTATCTATGCTGGTTGTTAGCTTGGATAACTGATATATGTATAATTATAAGGGACACTACATGTTTTATGGATAATATTTACATTTACAGGCTGATCAGATTAGCTTTCAGCCTCAGAGCTTGATCAGATTCAATAGCAGCCTTAGAGGCTGATAAGTCAGGATGCTGCCTTGTAGGCTATTTCATGAACAAAGCTCCTCACAGGCATATTAGCAGTCAAAGTGTCTTATAGGCTGATGCATATGATCCAGTGGGTGAGCTCTATTCCTGCCAGGCTGATCAGATTCAATAGCAGCCTCAGATGCTCATAAGTCAGGATGCTGCCTTGTTGGTTGTTTCATGAGCAAATTGTATGTCTATCAATATGAATGGGGTCAAGACTGCTAACTGACCTTACTTGTAGTCTTTATTCAATCAATGATTGGATGTACTACTTTGTTTCACAAATGTTTTAGTTTTTTTCTTATAGATGTGTTATGGTTGACTGTGACATGAAAGAAATAAAGGCAATCAAATCAGTCGTCCCACAGTCTGCAGTGTTCCTTTGCTGGTTCAAGTAAGTGTCATGAAACACAAGTACACAAGTAAGTGTCATGAAACTATCTGACAGCCTCCTTTCAAAATTCAGCGTCACAATGATTAATTGAAATATTTACATATGAACATTCTTGCCAGGCTAATTGCCAGGCTAATTGGTTTACATGGGACTATAGTGATTGCAATTTGGAAGCAATAGAAAAGTTCAATTAGTCCAAAAAAGGTAAGCATAACAAGAAATAGTAAGAAGGGTCTAAAATCCTAACTGTACACCATTGGCTAATAAGACAAGACAGGGGGAAATGTTAGGGATCCATCAGCAAGGAATGCTGTGAAAAGAGGAATGGTGTCTCTGAAGCATTGCAGTACAGTAAGTTATGCATCTGATATTGTGTAACATAATATTGTTTCAACTTAATGGTGCACTCCTTAGTCCTAATACAGTTAAAGCCGGAAGTTTACATACACTTAGGTTGGAGTCATTAAAACTTGTTTTTCAACCACTCCACACATTTCTTGTTAACAAACTATAGTTTTGGCAAGTCGGTTAGGACATTTACTTTGTGCATGACACAAGTCACACTTATAATTCACTCTGTCGCAATTCCAGTGGGTCAGAAGTTTACATACACTAAGTTGACTGTGCCATTAAACAGCTTGGAAAATTCCAGAAAATGATGTCATAGCTTTAGAAGCTTCTGATAGGCTAATTGACATCATTTGAGGTAATTGGAGGTGTACCTGTGGATGTATTTCAAGGCCTACCTTCAAACTCAGTGCCTCTTTGCTCGACATCATGGGAAAATCAAAAGAAATCAGCCAAGACCTCAGAAAAATAATTGTAGACCTCCACAAGTCTGGTTCATCCTTGGGAGCAATTTCCAAATGCCTGAAGGTACCAAGTTCATCTGTACAAACAATAGTACGCAAGTATAAACACCATGGGACCATGCAGCCGTCATACCGCTCAGGAAGGAGACGCGTTCTGTCTCCTAGAGATGAACGTACATTGGTGCGAAAAGTGCAAATAAATCCCAGAACAACAGCAAAGGACCTTGTGAAGATGCTGGAGGAAACAGGTACAAAAGTATCTATATCCACAGTAAAACAAGTCCTATATCGACATAACCTGAAAGGCCACTCAGCAAGGAAGAAGCCACTGCTCCAAAACCGCCATAAAAAAGACAGACTACGGTTTTCAACTGCACATGGGTACAAAGATCGTACTTTTTGGAGAAATGTCCTCTGGTCTGATGAAACAAAAATAGAACTGTTTGTCCATAATGACCATCGTTATGTTTGGAGGAAAAAGGAGAACGCTTGCAAGCCGAAGAACACCATCCCAACCGTGAAGCACGGGGGTGGCAGCATCATGCTGTGGGGGTGCTTTGCTGCAGGAGGGACTGGTGCACTTCACAAAATAGATGGCATCATGAGGAAGGAAAATTATGTGGATATATTGAAGCAACATCTCAAGTCAGGAAGTTAAAGCTTGGTCGCAAATGGGTCTTCCAAATGGACAATGACCCCAAGCATACTTCCAAAGTTGTGGCAAAATGGCTTAAGGACAACAAAGTCAAGGTATTGGAGTGGCCATCACAAAGCCCTGACCTCAATCCTATAGAAATTTAGTTGGCAGAACTGAAAAGGCGTGTGCAAGCAAGGAGGCCTACAAACCTGACTCAGTTACACCAGCTCTGTCAGGAGGAATGGCCCAGAATTCACCCAACTTCTTGTGGGAAGCTTGTGGAAGACTACCCGAAACGTTTGACCCAAGTTAAACAATTTAAAGGCAATGCTACCAAATACTAATTGACCCATTGGGAATGTGATTAAATAAATAAAAGCTGACATAAATCATTCTCTCTACTATTATTCTGACATTTCACATTCTTAAAATAAAGTGGTGATCCTAACTGACCTAAGACAGGGAATTTCCACTAGGATTCAATGTCAGGAATTGTGAAAAACTGAGTTTAAATGTATTTGGCTAAGGTGTATGTAAACTTCTGACTTCAACTGTATATACATAGCGGTAGCCCTGACACATAATGCTGAAGGATGAGGTTGGATAAATGTTTACCGCTCTCAAATTCATAGTCATAGTAGCCTCACATGGCCACCCTGAACTCGTGAGCTTCGACTCTGTTTCACTTGCAGTTTCAAACTATGAGTAGAACAGTGGAAGCTCAAGAGATTTCAGTATAGTCTTACTCTTATGAGGTTATAGTCATAGTTCTAGACGGCTCAGAATGGCCATCAGTGACAGCCCATTGGGAGTTTTGAATGTACTCTGATGGGATAAAATATGTTTCTGTCATGGAGAGTTTTGTGTGTGTTTGATACTTGCACAAAAAATTGTAGGACAAATTCCCCCAATGAGGAAACAGATACAGGTGTGATTGTGACACGCCTGACTAGTTCAGCAGAGGACCGAATGTCAAAGTGGTGCATAAAAACATGATAAGCCATTTGAGAAGGCACATTTACAGTAGATGCATTTACAGTGCCTTCAGAAAGTATTCATACCCCTTGACTTATTCTAAATTTTGTTGTGTTACAGCCTGAATTAAAAATGGATTAAATCTATTTTTTTTCTCACCCATCTACACACAATACCACATCATGATAAAGTGAAAATATGTTTTAGACATTCTAGCAAATCTATTGAAAATGAAATACAGAAATATCTCATTTACATAAGTATTCACACCCCTGAGTCATCTTTGGCACACCAGAGGTTTGCACACCAGGATTGTACACTATTTGCACATTATTCTTTATAATATTCTTCAAGCTCTGTCAACTTAGTTGTTGATCATTGCTAGACAGCCATTTTTAAGTCTTGCCATAGAATTTCAAGCCGATTTAAGTCAAAACTGTAAC